AACATTTAAATACAGTAGTATGCTTAGAACTTATTTAATAAGCACTTTTTATTAGTTGGGGGGAGGGAAAATAAACTTACAGAAGACCATTTCTAAACTAATTTTGAAAGCACGTCTTATTTGAAGCACAGAATATTATAATCAAATCTCATAGCACAATATCTTCAAAATTTATAGAATTCAGCCTAAATGGATGATGCCATCAAAACCAAAAAAAAAAGAGAGAATGAAAACACCACACTGCTGGCCTTACAACAGCTCTCTAGCAGCACAAATCTTATTTAAGTAATTGTGCCAAAGACAAGCCATTTTAAGATTAAAGAGTATTAGACTGAAGAGCTACAATGCCCTGTTCTTCCTATAATTCTACCACCTCCAATATCCTATTCAACTTTGTTAATTCAAAATAAAAAAGTTGCAAAATCAGTGTGTTGATAACAAAAAAAAACCCCCCAAAACCCCAGTCATTTTATTTTGGTAATTTGTTCCAAAGAATTTAATCAGAGATGATGACATTAACTTCAGGTGCCCTAGCCAACCTTATCACTGTCAAAAAGCCACTGCTGAAAGATTAGACTACATAATTGGGTTACAATCATCTGTGTGTGAACACTGGGATCCATACATGAGTAGCTGTAAAGTTCCATGACATACAAGATGTCAGGTTAAATTATCTAACAGTTCTTTCTGGCCCTTAAATTCTATGACATATAGATTCAGTGAACTCTGTTAAAAGCAAACACAAATACATTTTTTCTTCTTTTTTTTTTTAATTTATGACAGTTGCTAATGTTAATGAGGTCACTGTGGCCTACTGCAGATCATCTAATTACCTAATGGCGTGACTGGCTGGGCTACAGTACTGCAGAAGAGGACCTGGGATCACAAACGGGATGAGTCAACATTGTAATATTACTTTTGCCCAAAAAAAAGAAAAGAAAAGAAAAGAAAAAGCTAATAGTATGCTGGGATGTAACAACAGAAGTATAATGCAAGTTACAGGAAACGATTCCTTCACTCTATTCAGCATTGGTGAGGTCTCACCTGAAATACTGCACATCGAGTTGTGGGCACCACATTTCAAGAAAGATATGGATGAATTAGAATGACTCCATAGAAGAGCAACAAAAATGATCACCAATCTAAAAGGCATGAGGAAAGCTGGAAGAACTAGAATTATTTAATTTAGAGACGATCTACAGCAAATATAATAAGAGTCTTCAAATACAAAACAGGGTGTCCTCAAACCATGAAAAGAATAGTGATCAGCTGTTCTTTGCATCCACAGGAGACAGTGTAATAAGTAGCTTAACTTGTAACAAGATTTAGATGGGATATAACGAAGAACTTTCTAACTATGAAAATGGTTAAGCAAGAGAAGAGAAGTTATGGAGTCTCCATTATTGAATGTTTTTCCAGGCAAGTCAGACAAACATTTGCCCGGGTTAGTTCAGACAGAGATGATCTTGCCTTGAGCAGGAAGTTGAACCAGATGTTCTCCTGAGATCCCTTCCATTTGTGTTTTTCTATTACTCTAATTTTAATACTGCCTTTACATAATCATTTTCCTGTGAAATCGAGTTAAAACTGGCCTGAAGTAGTATTAATTGTATGAGTGGTTTCCGTCTTCAAGTGATATTACCCAAGGGAGCCTTATCCATGAAACTTCATTATGAGTTTCTTAGGCACAAAATGAAAAGGGCCAGAGACTGGTCAGTTCTAGCATAGCCGATTTATAAAAAGCCAGTGCGCTGCAGGACTTACTGTAACTCACTGCAACTGACCATTTTAGACCAGAATTATAAACAGTAACAAAAACCAAATTACTCATCCACAGATGTTATTTTACTTTGTCAGCAATCAGTGTTAGCTAATACTTCCCTATGAGTCAGTGGTGAATATGTTCCCCAGAATGGCATTAGGGGGCACTCTGCTGTTGTCAACTTCAGATAACCTGAAAAAACCAACCACAACATGGTTCATTTGGCTGAGTCCAGCATGAAATGTTCTCTCTTTTTCTGCTTTATAAGTTACACACTTATTCCCGTTTATGTCATAAGATGCATGCCATAAAAAGAAAAGAAAGTACTGGCAAGATGTGCAATGCAATCTGGAACTTCAGATTTTGCATTTCCTGACTTTTAGATTTCAGTTCAGCATTAATGGTGCATTAACAGATGTTTGGGGGATTTTTGTGCATTTTATATAATGGATTTTGTAAATGGGCTTTGGAATTCCTTGGGATAAAAGCACTATATGCATTATCTGGAGATGGGCACAAAAACAGTTAACAGAATTAAAGAGCAACTCCTATATTGACAACAGCAGTTATACTTTAGAGCAGCATTTCTCAATTTGTGAGTCACAGCCCAAAAGTGGGTCACAAAAATATATAAAGGGTCATGAACAAATTTTAAAACTGGATCAACGCCATTTAAAAATGGATTCTCCTTTAAATGAGAAAAACATGGGAAACTGTGGCTTTTCCTTTGCAGGCTGGCAGAGTTCCAGCCTGCAAGGGGCTGCCTGGGTGCCCCGCTACCCCACACACCTCTCCTGCCCTGGGGGGTTGGGGCATGGGGGCAGGGGGCAGTGGGTAGGGAGTGAGGGGCACTGGGTCGGGACTGGCCATCAATGTTTACAAGAAAAGTCCTGGTACAAAAAAGGTTGAGAACCATGGCGTTAGAGCTCTCCTGCATCATAAGACTTCTTCCTCTAAAACTCAGCGGTTAATATTCACCACTTTTAACTTGCAACTCAGCTGGCCTTTCAAGAAGTAAAAAGTGTTTCCTATCAGGATTAGAGTCTAAACAATAATAAAAAAAAACCCAAAATTACTATTACTCATTTACAGCTGTTATTTTACTTTGGTTTTGAAAGGGAAAACTTAACTTTTTTTAAATTAAAGAGGGAAACAAATGAAGATTTTTAAAAGCATACTACAAACCTTGGCATGGTTGAACAGCCAGGTCTGAGATGGTCCTTACCTGTCTTTCAGGAAGGACCCCAGAGTGACACTGGATAGCTTCATCCATCTTGTTTCACTACATGAGACTCGTGACACAGACTGGGAGGTACTGGCTCGGCTGCAATACTGTAAGCATTCAGACGAGATGCCAACCATTACTGAAATACCTTTTTGTTAGACACCAATGATCCAGGGGCACTGATTTCATTCAGCATGGCTGACATGTGAGCTTGGCCTTCCTAGAGAGTTTTGAAGTAATTTAGATGGGATGTACTATGGTCTAATGGAGGAGACGTGTCTACCACCTCAGAGCTCAGGCTCCCTTGTAACCTTTACAAATTCACTCTGACCCTGGCTGTGGACCCACATAACTTTAAGCAGGAAGAGAGGGATAACTTGCCACTCAGGGTAGGGATGCGCATACATCTGGATTCAAAAGGGAAGCAGCTGTTATGTTCCAACTGTGAGGTCTGAACAAGCTGAGAGCCCTATAGATGTAGGAAAACCACTCCAGCTTCAACCCTGAATGAGGCAGTGTTAAGGTTAGATCAGTTTTGTCCTATCTGTATCATCCTTGGCTTGCCCAAAGGTAACAATTAAACCAGAACAGCTGCTGCTCTTTTGGAATGGCTCCAAATAGAGGTGTGTCCATATCCCCAGCTGTAACGTCTGTCTACTCCTATACACTGAACCCCCGTAACTTTATAATAATGAATGAAACAGATTTAAAGTTAACATTTACAGCAGTCTAAGTTCCCTATAGCACTATAGAATCAGACAGGCATAACAGATTTTATTCAGCTATACCTATAATTTAATGCTGGTATCACTACTGTATTTGTCTACACCCCCCCCGTTTCTCAGATTCCCGCTGACATACTGACATGAACACACTCCCCCAAGAAGTGTATGCTGAAGAATAAAGGAAGAACAATTTTACCAGACACTAAAATTATCTCTCTCTCTCGTGAGTGAAAAAAAAGTTTGTTTTACTAGCTTTATGGGTCAGCAGAGAAAATACTCCTTCACTAAGTTGTTATTTCTTTCTTCCATCAGCCTGAGGAAAAATCAAGATGAATCTAACAAGTTACCAGCTTTTTTTCAAAAGAACAAATTTTAGTTGCCTTCATGTGAATGCTAAAAGTCTACCAGTGCTTTAAGTACTGTACTGTGACTTGAACACAATCTTGGCGAGTTGTTAAAGGGGTACAAAAGCCTTGGAAACATTGCAAAAACCTCAAATAGAGCCATTTTGAACCCGAATCTAAAAAGAAAATCAAACAGTCAAGTCAGCTTGCTCACAAGACTTTTCTAGTCGCCAGTGAGCATTATAAAACATCAAACCATACTGGGATTTCTGTTGGACTAAGCACTAACAGATGAACGTGGAGCGTACATAGTACATTGCGAGTCCACCTTGCACACATACTTGTGCACTTTGGTTTCCAGAAGACAATTTCTTCAGGAGTGAGGCAAGACTCTCCCCTCCATTCGGGACTTTACCTGGCCATGAGAAAAATCTTCCAGAGTAATAACTATGTGGGATAAGCCATCAGAAAGAGTCCACAGAAGAGCAAGAAAAATGAGCAGAGATCTAGAAGGCAGGAAAGCTAGAAGAACGGGGATTATTTCACGGAGAGGAGAGAGGATCTAGGGCAAATATAGGAAGAGTCTTCAAATACAAAACTGGGGGGGCTCGGACCACGCAAAGAAGTCGTGATCACCTCGGCAGCCACAGGGGACAGGAGCTTAAACTGCAACAAGCAGGACTGCGGTGGGCTCCGGCGCTTGTGGGGACACGCTAAGGACAGAAAAGGCATGTCAGGGGCTGGAAGAAAGAAACACCCTCAGCTGCAGAGCCGGAGCAGCTCTCTCAAACTTGGCAGGTCACAGCTGGGCGGGGGGGAAGCCGCTTTCTGCACCAACCCCCCCACCAAAATCCCCCAAATCTCACTCTGCCGAGACACTTGAGCGCCGGGGAGGCCGGGGCAGGCGCGGGGGAGCGGGGCCGGCCCCGCGCTCACGCACTCACCTCCCCGCGCGGCGCGGCGCGGGTCCCGCG